GAATACACATAATTGATTCATGCAGTTATTTCAGAACCTTGATCAGGAAGTCCTTTTTACAAAAACATCATAGTTGACTATGGTAACAACGAACTCAAATGGCCAATTACTGTTCATTATATCTGTAAATTGTTCCAATTTCAAGTAAAATACACATCAGGGGACACCAGAAATGGGCTTCACACATTGTACCCATGTGGGGATTCGGCTAGGCATGATGAAGATTATCAAAATACAATTTTATTGTTTTTAAATAGAAATAATTGCCCTAGGGCAGTTATTCAGTTATGCTCATAAAACACTTCCAACAACACATAACTTTCCCAAGTGGTTTAAACATGATTAGCCTTATTATGAATCATATTGCAGATGTGTTAACAAGTAATAAACTCTTAACTCACTATCTAGCATATATGAATCAACTCACAACTAGCAAAATGACTCACAGGACTCCTTTCATACATCCTTTCTAGCATTATGAATCACACACACATTATAATTAGTTTCATCAGCTCAAGATTACCTTGAACACAGCAGCTGTCTAACATCACACACAGACAACTCGGCTGTACCACAAGCTTCCAGAATACAGACTAATTCAGAAACACTCATACACAAATTTCAGTTTTCACATTTTCATTATTTACACAATTATAATATTTTATTATTTCCACACTAATTAGTTACACAAATATAATATTTTATTGTTTCCACAATAATCAGATACACAAATATTATACTGTAGTTTTTCAATATTAATCTTTATCATTTAAAAATTCACAACAATTGTATTCTGTTACTTCTACATTAAGTCCTTTTCTTTTTGAATTTCTGACAACCAAAAAGTTAAATATGTTGATTGACAGAAATTAGGGATTATTTTTATAAATAACTGAACAAGACTTTCGTATCTAAGGAAATTTACCTCTTATCAACTGTGACAAGTGTGTTTATCATACACTTCTTGGGCTCCTGCCTGAAAATCTTCAAAGTAAATTAAAATAAATAAAACTGGCATTAATTTGAAAGTGTTTCAGTAAAACCACTACATCTGAAGTCATTTTGGGAGCTAAGCACAGAGTAATCCAGTTCTCAACCCTACATTATCTGTAGCCAAGATCACAGGATCCTGGAATACCTAAGGGAGACAACTCTACAAAGGCCATTTGTGCACCTTTGCCTGTTGCCCTTTAAACACAATACCTTGACATACACATATGATTGTCTTGCTGCTTTAATTTTACTATAGGTTCAAAGCTCACAATTTACAACTAACAGACAACTCTAGGACATTTTTCTGGAACAGTCTTGATCCAATAAACATAACTTTTGCTGCCAAACTATATACCCATCACACAAAGTACAAAAACTGAAACATTCTACATTCTAAAACTGTTACCCCCCATATACTTACTGCCAGGACGTTCAACAAAAATTTCATGAAATTTACATCAATAATAGGTGAGCTTTGACAATTTCCTATCAGGAAGCCATACTCCTGGTTTAATTTATAATACCTTTAGAATCTAACAATTTGTGTTACAAGCAGCAGCCATAGCTGGCCTGCCTACAAATCATTGTTCAGGTACTGAATGGCTGATTTGTTCTATGGATCACCATAACATTTTTCAGGGTTGTGGCACAACACTAATATCATGGTTGTCACGGTTTTCTGTGGTCAGCCATGACAGTTTTTAAGGATTTTGGCAACGTGTCTCACAACGCACCATTTGATTTGCTGGCATTATGTCGATCAGTCATGACAGTTTCAAATTGTGTCATGGTTAATATATAATTTCTCTATAACTTTGTATAATAACTTTACTTGGTTACATGCATACTTAAAATGGCCAGAGATTTCCTGGCACAGAATTAACTTTAAAAACAACAACATGATGTCATCATAAGAGGTTTATGTGGGAAAATGAATTAATTCGAAGTGTCATCATATTTTGTCACTAAAGCACTCGTGACAAATCTATGGTGATGGGTTGAAGGTACCACAATACTAGTGCAGTGTTTGAGTGGCTACTGTCCGACACTGACCGCTTGACCAACAGACTTACAGAGTATACTCAGTTAATGTAGCAAGGTGCACATGCACAGACAACACACGACATTACATTATATGATATGTTAAGAAAGTCTAGTAACATGATGAATTGGGAACAAATCTACATATTCTTTTGAAAAATGATTTGGGATATCATCTCAACTATCTCTTTAGGCCAGAACAATTTTATTTCTTGTTTTACAGATTTTTGTCCTCAGAAAACCTAAAGGCATGAGGGAAAAAACCCCAAAAAACCCAAGTGTTTTGCCACTGATATGGCAATGTCCCCCGCCGCTAAAGAATGGAATATCTATATTTACTACTTTTTATTTTTTGGTCACATACAATATGCCTGAAATGACTGGTGTCTGCATAATCACCCAATGTAGGCTGTCAACATACTTGAAAACATTGGGTGCAATGTTTTATGAGATATCGTGTTTAAAAAGTGGTCAAAGTGCTGTGGTGACCTTGAAAATAAGGTCAAGGTCACCCATATCGATTGGTGTCTGAACAAATATGACAGGCGAATCCGTAAAACAAGAAATAAAATGGGTCTTGCCTTATCAGAGAGAGAGAATAAAAATGAGTGAGTGAGCGAGTTTGGTTTTATGCTGCTTTGAACAGTATTCCAGTTGCATAATGGTGTGTAAGCTTAATGAGAGGGGAAAGGGCAAACTGATGCTTGTCTGAGATGTTTACCATTTTTTTGAAACCCAGGAACAATGGTATAATACTCACAGACCTTGAATAATGATCAGGTGGAACCAGGATTTGAACCTACAATCATACACTTATGGCATGCCCCCATCTCTTATCATATGTATCATAAAGTGGAAATAACTGATACTCGGTGAATACTTGGAAGTGATGTTACCATGGTTACTGGTTACCATGGAAATGACCAAGTATGAGAACATTATAACTGTGCATGAATTTCAACATGAATTGTGTAAAGATATTTAATATGAGCAACTTTGGCATGGGAATTATATAGTGAGTGAGTGATTGTGTGAGTGAGTGAGTGAGTTGTGTTTAAAGCCAGTTTGAACAACATTTCATCAACGTCCCATCGTGTAAGGTTCACGTGTGAGGAATGTATGAAGTGATGCAGGTTCCAGGAACCATCTTGATGAAACCCTCACACATGATGCTGACAAAACTAGAAACATAATCAAGGAGAATCACAATTTGGACCCACTATCACAAGAGCCTGCTATGGCTAAGGGAGGCAACTCCATGCAGCAAATCACAGTGCCTTAGATGCCATGGCTCTCTGTGAATGTTTGATAGGAATATTTAAATCATAGGATTTTCTCTTAATACACAGAATGATCCCATCAAAAATTGAGTAGTATGGCTAATGACAAATCGGATTCCAACAAGGCAATATTTAGATTTACCTTCTTCTTCAAGAAATTCAGTTTCTTAATTTATGCATCAAAATGTTCAAAAAAGTGAAAAAACTAATTTATAAATGCATTTCTTTGCATTTATAAAGAAATGAATTTTAATCAATAATTTGCCCTCAGGTGAATGCTAAAATCATATATAGTCATTCTTTACAGTTTGGCTTTGGAAAATTTGAATTTGTGCCTGTCAATTTTTCTAGTACTGTCTATGGCTTATTAACCTAATCATACACTGTGTGCTAATAGAGACAGTTAAAGAACATCCCATAATATAACAATGATTATAAGTATTCCATCCTATCAGGTGGGTACTGCAACACTCGTGGCTGTTCATTAAATTGTTTTGATTAGTATATTATATCTGATGCAGAATATAAGAAACAAGATCAAGCCTACACTAAAGGGTGATGCTGATGAACGTAAAGCAATGTGTGATTACTAAACAAATCGGAATTCAAACAGCCATATTTACAAAGGATATATTAGGCATGAGCTTGTGATACTGTGTGAGCTAAGCATTCATAATTGTATGAAATTACCCCATGAAATATCGACATTCACTGCTGAAGCTGATGAAGATTCTCAGTCTCGTCCAAGTCAGATATTCATCAATGTCATGTCACCATTTGTCAGTCAAACTTTGGGACCTGAAATGGGATGTGCTCAAATATTTGAGCAGCAATTGGGACCTATAAGATCTGAGTTTATGAGACTGATTTAGATAAAGCTTGGTTTCAATCACTTGTTACATGTCATAAAGCTTGTGTTAAGCTGGATGGAGAATCATGAACATCGAACATATGTTGTCATGGCGATGAGATAGTTATGGTGATTCTATGTACATTGGACTGCAGCCCAGGGAAGGAACACCTCTCTCCCTCCCTCAAAAACACTACCTACAATTCTAATCAATCGCTAACACTATACGGTAACAACAAAACATCTCTTGTTGGTACAAGAAACACTAGGCCCATGTGCATGTTAACAGTCCACACAATATAACTGGAGTTCTCTCCCTTGCATTGAAAACCACTATTTTCTTTGCTGTCCATCTACATTCCTTTTAGTTTAATCACCTGTGTTTTCATTTGAAATTAACAATTCAATAATAATTCTTTTCCTCATTTTTTCCTAACTTTTCTTAGGCCCTGAAATTAAATGAAATTAGCATTAATAACTAGTTCAATACCCTGGAAAAATTATTAGGTGTTGAACCCGAGTCAACAAAAGTTTAATTTAATTTTACATTAACTTTAAAATCACACAGTATGAGTGTGAATATGGTTTTACGCCGTTTTAAGCAATATTCCAGCAATATCACAGCGGGGACACCAGAAATGGGCTTCACACATTGTACCCATGTGGGGAATCGAACTCGGGTCTTAGGCATGACGAGTGACTAGGCTACCCCACTGCCCCTAAATCACATGGTAAAGTCTTACCTGATGAGGGAAGATTATAGTCAAGACTAATTACACGCTTCAATATGCCAAACACAAAAACTTTAAACCTTCAAAGCCAGGTGCCATTATATTAAATACACCAAGCTAGGATGGCACCCGAGATAAGTAGAGTGCTGATTTTAAGGAAAGACGAAGACAAAGAGGATTTTTTTCTTTTTCTTGACCAAACATAATATTGGCTTATACACCTCCAATCTTGTAACAAGCTTGCTTTTGGATTAAACTAGAGTTACCTGCCCCTTGTTTACAGTTATTTGAGTTTAGACACACAACAGATATTGGCTTTCTACACTAGAGGGAGTTTAGAGTTGAGAGTATTTTCTCACATACTATTTATCATTAATACTAGTCTTATATGGAAACTGTGTGATCCACACAATTCAGGAGAAGAGATTCAGTTTGTATTTGTAGACCTCTGATCGGCTCCAGTGAATCAGTAAGTCTGCAATGATCATAGGAAGTGATGTCATAACACAGGAAATGATGTCACTGAGAGATGGAGAGAGGTGTATATCACAGCGTAGCACTTCAGTGGCTGGGTATTCTGGTATCTTGTGTGACTACTGCCCCAGGTTGACATTGGCAGGAGGGTTACCTCCCTTGTTTTCTTTGTACGGCTCCTCCTCCATCACCTAGGCAACGAAATAAAATAAGTCTTTACAATGTTGAAAACATGTTTAGAACATAATCTGAAGAGGAAGATTTGTTAAAAAACAATCAAAATTGAATTTTAGAACTTCATGAAAACTAAATAATAATATTACAGAATACTTACAAATCAAATTTCTCTAAAATTGAATTAATGTTTACCTCTTGAAAACATATTTACAGTATATTACTCATCTTCGATAATTTGGAAAGTAACATCTCTAAAAAATGTCATTCACATTACATGGTCTTATCAAGGTGAATATTCATCATGGAAACCTGAAAATTTGTTTGATATGAGTTGTATATAACATTTAAACAACCATGCAAGCATCCACGACTATAATCATAACTACACATACTTCATGCAAATATCACATCAAATACTGCTAAATACAACTATTACTAAAAGATCTTAATAACAGACCTGTTACATTTATGTACCACTACAAAAGTATGAAAATATACTGAAAAATAAAGTTAGGGATCATGAAACTTTCACAACAAAAAATATTCCAAAAATATTCATGATTACAAACTTTCTCTGTTCATCAAAGTTGGGGACCACTGCCCATTTCGTTTTGTTACAGTTAATGGGCCCTGTCCACACAGATGAGTCTTTTGTGATAAAAAAGAATGAGGTGGTCCTGCCATTTTAGATTAGTAAGTCCTTCTCACAATAAAAAACTTATACAGTAGTCATTTCTGCAAAAACTGTTGATAATAAACTACATGTATTTTCTTTGGGGTATTGATATGAAAATGTAGTTTCTAATAATCACATATGTCATTAATTTAATGTATGTTTACAAATATCACGCAATTTCAAACATTCATAAAACAGCAACCATTTTAATCTTCTTACAAATATACATATACATTTCTTGAAAAATTGCTTTACTAAGTTCATTATTTACAGAATTTCACACATTAGGTTCAATCAAAAATGTGATCTAAACATGAAATAAATGAACATGGATTTGAATGACAGCTCATGCATTTCTGAAACATACATGACTTGATTCATCAGCATCTCACATACAAAAGCTAAGATGGGAGAAATAAAAAGTAATATCTACAATGTTTTATACGTTTGTTGTTTTTACCAGCTGTGGACCACAGCCATTCCAATTGCGCTGCTTGATGAGAGAACAGAGGGGCAGTGTTTACTTGACAGGTTCAATCTAGGTATAGTCCATTTGACTTCATTTTAGACCCATGAATTGCTCCCTAACACAAAATCTGATAATTGCAACAAAATCAAACTTTGCACTGTCACATGAAATCGACAGACCAACTCTGATGATTTGTCTCATAATCTTGGACACCCGAATAAAAAAGTTGTTTAACAAACGGTCAGTATTTTGTTGTCCCTTTTGCTGCTAGAACAGCCAGGTAATCAACAAGCGTCTGCAGTGAAATTTCAATTTCACACGTACAACTCAGACACCTGGCTGTTCTACCAGCAAGTAGTCCCCCCCCTCGTAAGAAATAGCGAAAAGTGACAACAAAATAATGACCGTTTGTTAAACAACCTTTTTATTCGGGTGTCCAAAATTATGAGACAAATCATCAGAGTTGGTCTGTCGAATTCATGTGACTGCAGAATTTGGTATTGTTGCAATTATTACATTTTGTGTTAGGGAGCAATTCATCGGTCTAAAAAGTAGTCAAACGCACTATAGCAGGTTATAGAGCTCTGTGTATTTACTACTAATCTGGACAAAATCTTGTCTTTAAAAAATCCCCATTCAAACTTGCTTACTTTGCTCACAATACATAGAGAAGCAACGTTATGACAAAAAACAATATCTAAAAATAGCTTAAAATGATTCTAGCTTTGAATCCAGAAGAATAATCAAGCAACATTTTGACCCAAAAATTATTATTATTGCTGATCTGCTCTACCCTTGACATTTACAAAAGTACACAATTAGAGACTGCTCTCTCCTTGACCCCTACAAGATTACTCCCCTGACGGACTGGTCTCTCCTTCAACCCATCAAGTGTACAACCCTGACTGACTTTTCTGTCCTTGACCCCTACAAGTGTACTACCATGACAGAGTGTTTTGTCCTTGACCAAAGGGCACTGCCCTGATGAACTGGTCTGTCCTTGACCCCTACAATGGCACCACCATAATGGACTGCTGTGTCCTTGACCCCTACAATAGCACCACCATAATGGACTGCTGTGTCCTTGACCCCTACAATAGCACCACCATAATGGACTGCTGTGTCCTTGACCCCTACAATAGCACCACCATAATAGACTGCTGTGTCCTTGACCCCTACAATAGCACCACCATAATGGACTGCTGTGTCCTTGACCCCTACAATAGCACCACCATAATGGACTGCTGTGTCCTTGACAATAGCCCCATACAATGCTGTGCACCCCTACACCATAATGGACTGCTGTGTCCTTGACCCCTACAATAGCACCACCATAATGGACTGCTGTGTCCTTGACCCCTACAATAGCACCACCACAATGGACTGCTGTGTCCTTGACCCCTACAATAGCACCACCATAATGGACTGCTGTGTCCTTGACCCCTACAATAGCACCACCATAATGGACTGCTGTGTCCCTGACCCCCTACAATAGCACCACCATAATGGACTGCTGTGTCCTTGACCCCTACAATAGCACCACCATAATGGACTGCTGTGTCCTTGACCCCTACAATAGCACCACCATAATGGACTGCCATGTCCTTGACCCCTACAATAGCACCACCATAATGGACTGCTGTGTCCTTGACCCCTACAATAGCACCACCATAATGGACTGCTGTGTCCTTGACCCCTACAATAGCACCACCATAATGGACTGCTGTGTCCCTGACCCCTACAATAGCACCACCATAATGGACTGCTGTGTCCTTGACCCCTACAATAGCACCACCATAATAGACTGCTGTGTCCTTGACCCCTACAATAGCACCACCACAATAGACTGCTGTGTCCTTGACCCCAACAGCCATACTCTGCCATAGAATTCCCATGGGTAGACAAGCAATGGTTAAAAAGCATAAGGAGACTACTCTTACATATTATCTGTTTAGAGTGAGAAGTACTGGGCACCCATTCTTACACAAATCACTACAGACAACAAGCATTAGGTACTGGGCACATATTCTATAATTAATCATGTAAAGTGATGAATAATTTGAATATTTTGGTGTCACTGACAAGCATGGTTGCTAACAACCTGAATCTCATTCTGAGTGATTCTGTTACTGATTGTGGTGCTCTTAAGGGAGGTGACTCTTGCATAGAATATTGCAGCACCATAGAAAACTGGTCCAACTCTGCCCTCTATTAAGAAGTGAGATGACACTGGAACTAAGGGAAATATCTAAGAACGCTTCTGTGGAGATGGGCTGTTAAGTTAGTTCAGGCTGGGCTCGATTTAACTGATGTTAACCTACTTGCACCAGGTGCAACCTAAGATAAAAACCTTAAGTTGAACCAGCCAATTCCAGTTGCACTTCTTATATTGCAATATGTAGATGCAATTATTTGGATGTTTTATTCAGAAGTTTACCCACTCAAAAATTGACTTGCACCTGGTGCGAGTTAGACTAATAACTAGGTTGCAGTTTGTAATATTGGGTTGCACCAGTGCAAGTAACAAAGCACTAAATCGAGCCCTGTCAGGCCATTGTGTCTAAGAGTGCTTGACTATGTATCAACACATTCCTCAGTCCCTAGTGTTGAGGAGTTCATGTATAAATGATACATTAAGAACTTACTACTTCACAGAGTGGGAAACCATACAACAGGCTTGATGAACATTACTTTGGTGAAACCCTATCATGGAAAGATGGTCATGATGAAACCCATGACATGGATCAAAACCATGAGATATCTGGATTCAAACCCATGATCATTGGATCCTGGTAACTCAAACAGCAAACTGCCCGAGATAACAAACCCTCTCTGCCCACTTCTGTACTGCCAAAGTTTGGAATTGTAACCATAACAACCAACCGTGACAGATTGCTTTCCGGCTTGACACCAGGAATGGTGAAAACCTGCAGACTTTAACAAAAGCCAAAGCATCTCTCTGAAGTTCAACAGAAACTTACAAATGATAAAGAGCTCATTACTGGATTTTTAATCAAGAGGTTTATGTGGATATTAAACAAAAACATAAATGCATGATTCAATATTAAGTTTGTTACTCCTGATTTTGTATTCATGAACAATCACATTAATGACAGACTCATACTTAAGAATACATACTTCAGTCAAAACCTATTCAGGTTTACATTCATGATTTTAAAAATTGAAGTCATTACTCAAAATTGATATCAAGCCCATGGCAAAATTTTATATAATTCATCTTCATGACTTACAAGTTTATCTTCATGACTTACAAGTTTATCTTCACGTGTCACAAGGTTACTTTCAAGAATCAAATTAACATTCATGACCCACAAGTCTATATTCATAACTCGGGGGTCTATATTCATGACTCACAAGTTTATATTCAAGACACACAAGTCTATATAATCATGACTCACAAGTCTAAAATCAAAACTCAAATGTTTATATTCATGACTCTCAAGTCTACATTTATGACTCACAAGTTTATATTCATGACTTACATGTTTATATTCACGACACACAAGTCTATATTCATGGCTCACAAGTTTATATTCAAGACTCACATGTTTGATTATTAATGACAAGTTTATATTCACGATACACAAGTCTATATTCATGACTCACAAGTCTATAGTCATGATTCACAAGTCTATATTCAAGACTCGCATGTGTATATTTATGACTCAAGTCTATATTTATGACCCAAGTCTATATTCACGACTCACAAGTCTATATTCATGACTCACAAGTTTATATTCATGCTTTACATGTTTATATTCATGTCTCACAAGTCTATATTAATGACTCACAAGTCTATATTCAAGACTCGCATGTTTATATTTATGACTCAAGTCTATATTTATGAC